ATATGCATGCGTGGACAGAGTGAGTGACATGGGCTCAGGACTGGTTCCACCTGCACCCAAATATGAATGAATTTAACATCTTAGGCAGGTGTAGAACATCGGAAATGGTCTTGCCAGGCTGAGAAACAGGTACATAATGGAAGCAAAACCATAGCCAAGTGTCAGTGTGCACCACATGAAACCATCAGCTCCAGCTGGTGGGCACAGTCCAGGTTCATCTGGGAAGGTAATTTCCAAGGAGGCTCTATCCCCAGATGGACAGCACTGCACCCCATTGAATGCTGAGTCTCTTACCTGCTGGGATGGGAGGTAGGATGAGAGCAGACAGGGTCTTGGGCAAGTGAGCCTTTGTCTCCATTTCTGTCTCTTACACACCATGTGCACATGAGGATGCATACACACACACACACACACACACACACACACACACACGTGTGTCACATGCACAAGCTGTGAAGGATCCAGGGTTCACTCAAAATGTGAGCACTGATGGGTTTTTGGCAGGCATGCGATGAGAGGCGGGACCCACGAGTCCTGCACCATGCCAGGGCACAGGTGCCCCAGGGAAGCAGAACCACAGGGAGCATCTGGGAGGTAGCATTAGGAATCCTCTTGGTTTCTCAGACCAGCAACACCACAGTTGTGTACCATAAGAGATGCACATGCTGAGGCCAAGGAGGTACCGTGGCAGAAGGCTGTGGATGAGGTGTGGAAAGGATTCTGTCACCACCTGACACCCGGGAGCTGGAGGCACAGGCTATGAAAGGCCTTTTGAGTCCTGCTGTTGACATGGCCAAGGTGCTGGGGCAACTATCAGCAGAGTAAATCTCAGCCCAGGCTAGGTAACCCTTCCAGGCAAAAATGTGGCAGCCGTGAGAGACAAGTGACCGGCAGGACCCTGGGCCTCCCAATGAGCTCAGCACCTGCCCTTCACCTGACTCCCACCATTACTCCCTGAGATGCAGGGCCTTCAGGCATGCCAAGCTGTCTAATCTTAGTCAGGTTTCTCACCTTCCAAGTCTCAGTGTTCTTGTCTGGAAAATGTGGCAGAGGGGGATCTGTACCCACTAATGTGTCTACAGTGAGAGGTTCTTAACACCCATACCCAGACAGAGGGGAGGCCTGTCTGAGCCTTTACTGGCTGCTCCCCTGTCCCCAGCACACCTTCATTGGTTCACAGTTGGAGAAACAGACCAAAAGGAGGCCAGTGTTGTGCAGAGGCCACCCATCCCCATGGTTCCAGACACCAGTAGCTCCTCCCTTTCATCCAGGGCAATTGACTGCATCATTTGTGGGGCCCTTTGTGCTGGAATCGTGCAGAATTTTAAGTCAGTGGTAGCAGAACATTACACCCAGTGTGAACCCACTAAGAGGAGCCCATTGGACTGCCTTGGCTGCACCCCTCGAGATCCACCCTGCATCCACCTCCTCGGTTCCCCCCTACCCCCGCTTGGACCATGTGTTTCTAACTAGAAGTGTCTTTGACAAGGAGGAGTGTTCCAAAGGCAGTGCCCTGCTACAGGGACCACCTGGGAGGCATTTTAAGTGCATTTAAGACTCTCTGGTCATAGTCATTGCCCGACCTGCAAATCCCTTCTGGCAGCAGAAAGCTTGGCCCCACATGATCCTGTAGAGCCTGGCTCTGTGAGATGAGGGCAGGTGGGGCCCCTCTTCCTGTATGCATAGTCTTTGTGCTGGGAGCACAGGCCTGTTTCCTCCCCCCACCCTCCAGTCCCTGCATCACAATGCATCCTTATACCAGGTGGGGTGTGCTGAGCCGGGCATCTTCCCTGACGGGTGTCCAGCTGCTCTTCTTCAGCTCCTGGACATCAACAGAGTCATCCCATGAGGCCCTGCTAAGGGCAGTTGGTTCCTATTGAGAAGACCAGGCCAGGGTGTGAGTCCCCAGAGAGAACGAGAGATGACAGACCTGTTGCTCTGTACAGAGGCAAGCTATGCTGGGGGGAAAGCTTGTGGATGTAGCCTCTCTGAGAAGGGGCATCCTCCTATAGGTGCATTGTGAGGAGAGCTGGTGGCCCTGGAGCAGCCCAGATATGTGACATCATGTGGGGTGAGAAAGGGTCCTGTCAGAGCCCAGCCCAGCCCCTCCATACATGGCATGGTGCCCATGGTATCACAAGGCCACCATCCTGTGAGGCCACTGTGAGCCGCATTCTTTCTTCTTTGTGACCAAAAGGGTCAGCTCTCCAAGGGACAGTCTTTAGACATGGCCTTAAACCTAGAGGCCTATAGGTTCTTGGGTCCCTGGCTCTCAGTGGGTGTTGGGCATGGCACCCACAGAGCTGCAGCCCTGCTGATACCCGGTCTGTGAGGGAGGCTGGTCATTGCCCTGACCAGGGCAATCCCAATGTTACCTTGCTAGACTGCACATCATAGGGACCACACAGCTGCCAACACCTCTCCATGGTGGTTGGCAAGGTACTGATGTGCGGTGGCCAGAAGCCCCTATGGGGAGCCATAAGCCATATCACCAGGATCCATCTTTGGGCTCCCCAGTGTTGGACCTTCTCCTGCAGAAGCAAGCCTGCAAGTCTCTGGAGAGGGTCCTAGCTGGATGGAGACCAACCCAGCGTCACAGAACCAGGAACCATCAGCTGCCCTTTCCCAGGACCTGCCCTCTGCCTGAGTCACGTGCCTTGTGCCAGGAAGCAGCAAGGAGCCATCCCTGTGGCCTTGTGGAGCTGTCATAGCCCGTGAAGCTGCTAGCCAGCCTTTCCATGCTCAGCTACTGAAGAGGTCATCCCTGAGAACCACTTATGGGAGAGGAGAGCCTTCATCCCCCTGGGCCAGTGAGGAAGAGTGGCATCTGAAAGCTCCTGCTGCAGTCCCTCAGTGAGACTCTGGGGTGGATGGGGCTGAAGGTGGCCCTGTCTTGGCACTCCCTCCCCAGAGTCCCTCAGTGTGACAATTTCTGGGCTCCCTTAGCTGCAGCTCCCAGCCTGCCACTCCAGTGGTCCTGCCCCACCCCCCTCCTGGCTTTCCCATCTGGTCTTTGAGGTTGTCCTTGAGGAATATTCCACAGTGCAAGAAGCTGTCTCATTTTCTAACTGCCTTGCCACTTTGGACCCCAAATGGTCTCACCTGTTCTCCCGCCTCACTCCAGTTGGACTTGATTGTTTTCTTATACCCAGAGGGGACCGTGACATCCTGACAGGCAGCCTCTGATAGAGCCTGGAAGGGCAACTGTGAGGGAAACAGGACCCAGGTGGAAATGAGCTGAGAGAAAAGATGGCTAGTTCTTGAGGGCACAGGGTTTCTAGCATCTGTTCTTTGTGTTAATACTTTTGTGCATTATAGTTTGAGCAATTTTTGCCTATTTACCCCTTTTAAAAATTCCTACTACCTTTTATTGTGGGAAAGTACACATAAAATTGGCCATGTTAACCATTTTAGGTGTACAGTTGAATGGTATAAAGAACATCCAAGTATCGTACAACCATCACAGAACCATCCACAGACTTTTCCGTCATCCCAAACTAAACCATTAAATGAGAATTCTCCATCCCTCCCCCCAGTCCTGACAGGCACCAGTCTACTTTCTGTCTGTGAATGCGACTGCTTTAGGTATCTCAAGTGGAAGAGTCATGCAGCGTTTGTCCCTTTATGACAAGCATAATGTCCTCAACGTCCATGTTGTATCATATGTCAGATGGCTTCCTTTGGAGGGCTGAAGTATTCCATTGTGTATGCTATCTGTATCGCACTTTCGTTATCCATTCATCTGCTGAGGGATACTAGGGCTGCTTCCACCTATGGCTACTGTAATTAATGCTGCTAAGGACGTGAATGTACAAATATCTCTTCAAACCCAGCTTCAAAACCTTTTGGGTCTATACCCAGAAGTGGAATTGCTGGATCCTATGATAATCCTGTGTTCAATGTTTTAAAACCACAGTACTATTTTCCACAGCTGCCATAACATTACATATTCCCATCAATGGTGCACAAGGTCTCCAAAGAGATTTTTGTATTTAAAAAAACATTGTATTGTGAAGATTATTGGGCATACACAGTCAGTAGGCCAGCACCATGAGCTCCTGCAGGCTCACCCAGTCATAGCTAAGCCGACAGCCAGCATCTTCCCGGTGGTTACACCTCTGCCCACATCTCCCTCCAGGTTTAGCTTTTCAGTTTTTTTAGGTGAAACTTACAGGACACAGGACATTTACATTCTCCTCCTGCCTCTCCCAGGCTGTCAATCCCATTCCCACCCAACAGTCTGATCTAGAATCATGCCATGTGTATTTTTTCTGCCTGGCTGCTTCAGCTGGGCATGATGTTTGTGAGACCCTCTCCTCCCAGTGTGTGTGTGTGTGTGTGTGTGTGTGTGTGTGTGTGTGTGTGTGTGTGTGTATGTGTGTGTGTGTTTATCAGTAGCTCATCCCTTTTCATTGTTGTGTAGGATTCCATAGTGTGGATTACTGGTTTGCTTATCCACCCAATGGAGGGCATCAAAGTTGTTTCCAGCTCTTGGTCCCTGCAAATAATTCTACCATTTATGGTTAAGTCATTTGATGAATGTATGCTTTCATTTCTACTAGATAGTGGAATTTCTGTGTCATATGATAGGGGTAATGCTTAGATGAAGGTATGTTCCTTCTAAAGTGCTTACTTAGTTTCTTGTGACTGCTGCCCTGCCTGTCTGGCAGTGTCCTTCCCCTTGCAAACTCTGACTCTAGGTGTTTTGTTCAGAAGACTGTGCAAACTCAGCTCATGTGTGATTCAGGGCTTATCAAACTTGAGGAATTGAGAATGATTCCACAACTGTCCCATACTTCCTCCCCTTTCCTTCCTCCTTTTCTTTTTCTATTTTAATGCAAGGTCATTTCAGTCTGTGATTGGCTATACAAATAATTTTGTGTTCCTGTTCTTCAGACTAAAGGTGAGAAATTCCTGCTAAGATAAGAACGTAAATTTTTGTTTGTCCCTAAAGAATCCATTACTCCACCTTCCTTCACACACCTCCCTATCTTCCGCAGCCCCTCTGGGCCTCTACTTCTCAAGGGATGCTTACTGGGAGAGGCTGTTTGTGGACCAGCCAGCTGGCATGCCCCTGCTGTACGTCCATGCCCTGCGGGATGCCCCTGGGGAGGTACCCAGCTTCCATCTGGGCCAACATCTCTATGGCGCCTACCGTGCACGGCTGCATGAGAATGACTGGATCCGCATTCAGGAAGACACCGGCCTTCTCTACCTCAACCGGAGCCTGGACCATACCTCCTGGGAGAAGCTCAGCATCCGAAGTAAGGGAGTGACCCCACACTCACCTCTACCTCACCAAGCCACCCTTGGCTCACCTGCCAACTGAGGCACAGTGGATGGCATCCTCAGAGCTCCTGGGGGAGAGGGTGCAAAGGACAGGGTGAGGCTGACTTCCCTGTGAGGTGAGGGTGCCAGGAGTTTAGAGGCACTGACAGCCTGGGGCCTGCTGAGGCTATTGGAAGTTAGGAGAGCTGTGTGGATGACAGGTGCCCTCTCTAGTAGTGAGGTTAACAGGGACACACATATGGGGAGAGAGGGATTCTCAGAGGCTGGAAAGATCCCAAGGACTTGATTTAGCTGGTGATCTAGAAGTTGCTAGAGATGTGGCAGTTCCCAGAAAGTCTATCTTCCCAACTGCAGCAGCTGCTCTTGACCTGGTTGGGACACTGGCCTGGTCAAGTTGTGCGGGGAAGGGGATGGAGTGGGGAGGGGATTGGAGCAGAAGGGAGAGCCAGTGAGCTGCACAGAGCAGGGGTCAGACAGAGCTGGAATCAAGGCCTCATTGTGGCATGAAATGGTACCTGTACACCCAGTGGCTTAGCGCCTCCTCTGAGGCATAGCTTCACTGGGCCATTGCAATGGCCCTCGGTCCCAGTCCATGAGCAAGAGGCAGGCCATGTCATGTGCTGAGCCAGCACTACCCACATGGGCAGAATGTTGGATGCAGCTGCCAAGTGCAGCCAGGGTCCTGAGGCAGTGAACAGTTAGTTCCTATGGAGGCAGGCATAGGGTGTGTGGGCCTCCCTTCCATATACCCTAGTTGCCACCATCTTCTTCCTAAGCTGCAGTGAGGAACTGAGGAACTAGAGCCTCTGGGTAGGGTAGGGGCCAGGATGGAATTTGCTGTGGGCCTAAATTTCCTTGGAGGCCTGAGCCATCCATGTTTGGGCACTACCGGGTCCAGTCAGGAAAGAAGCCACACAGTGATTTGAACAGGAAAAGTTTGTGGAAAGAATTATTAACTGCAGCAGGTGGGATGGACAGATTAACAATATGCAAAGAAAACTCAGGAATATAGGCAGAGCAGCTGCAAGGAGCAGCAGCCACAAGTCAGGGCCAGGGAGAGCCTTTGCCCCAGCTCTCACTGAAGCTGCTGTGGTGTCTCCATGGTAGAACTTGCTGGAAATCCCCCCTCTTGGTGCTGGGGAAGTCTACCTGGTGGAGTTTGTAGTGGCAGGGAGTACAGTTGGTCACCGCATGCTGCAGAAGCCAACCCTATGGGTGGGAGAGAACATTAGACCCAGTCACTAATGAGGGCATTTGAGCTGAGATGGGTGAGGGGCACTGGTGCTTCAGGCCTCAGGAACCTGCAGCAGAGATGGGGAGGTAGCAGCTGGGCTGGAGAGCCCAGCAGAGCTCTATGGACTACAGGGCTGTGAATCCCAGAGCTCTAGCCCATCCCCATTTCCCACACCCTGGCAGGTGTGGCAGGGTCTTGCTTTCTTCTCTCTCTGCAGATGGTGGTTTCCCCCTGCTCACCATCTTCCTCCAGGTCTTCCTGTCATCCTTGCCCCTACGTGAAGGCGAGTGCCAGTGGCCGGGCTGTGCCCGCGTGTACTTCTCCTTCATCAACACCTCCTTCCCAGCTTGCAGCTCCCTCACACCCCGGGAGCTCTGCTTCCCAGATACAAGCCTCTCCTTCCGCATCCGGGAGAACAGGCCCCCTGGCACCTTCCACCAATTCCGCCTGCTGCCCATGCAGTTCCTCTGCCCCAACATCAGCGTGGCCTACAGGCTTCTGCAGGGTGAGTACCATCCTTATGAGGCCATTCCTCTGTGCCTGCTGCATGCTAGGTACAGCACTATGAACCCTTCACATGAACCATCTGGTTTGTTCTTCACTACCATTTAATATTCCAGAAATATCTCTTGGTTGCCTGCCATGGATCAAGTACTGTTCTAGGAGCTAAGGATGAAAATTGTGAATACATAGGGTGGCATCCAGCCTGCCTGGAGCTTCCATTCCTCTGGGGGATGGAGCCCACAAATGTGTCAAGGAAATCAGGCTGCCTCTGGAAGGAGTGAGATAGAAAGAAAAGCTGGGAGAGTAGGGAGTGGAGAATGGTGGAGACTATTGTCTTCAATTGGGTGGTCAGGGCAGCTTGGAGTGCCCATCAAAGCTGAGTTGGCGCCAGGTGGGCAGATCTAGCCCCTTGGAGGGTGCCAGTGTGGGACCTCTGTGGCTGACTGCAGTGAGCTACGAGGGAAAGTAGAAGACAACAGGGGCAGGTAGTTCCAGGTCTAGGAACAACTTTCAGGACTGTGCATCCTGAGGGACATGGGGACATGGAAGACTTGGAGGAAAGGGTGTTGATAGGACTTGACTTGCCCTTATAAGTATTAGGCAGACTTCTGTGTTGGACATGATTTGGGGTCAGAAGTGTAGGGTGGAAGCAGGGAGACAGTCAGAAGGCTTCGGGAGAGACCCCTGAGTGCAAGGACAGGACTGAAAACTGAGGGCCATGAGAAGCAAGAACTTCCTGGCACACTCTGATAGGAGACCAGCTTAGGCATGGAACTCAGTGGGGTCAGCATTAAGTGCAGCCTGGGTTCACACCACGTGCACAGAACGCAAACCTGGTGATGTGCTGAAAATCTAAATTCAGGAGGAAAGGCTGTCGCTCCCACTCCCACAGCGCTCTCTTCCTCCCTAGGACAGGCGTAGGTGACTTTGAACCAGGTGGTAGCAAAGCAGTGGTTTTGCATTCTGTCCCTTTTCAGTAAAAATTGTAGAAGTTTTGTTTAGCGTTTTTTGTAATCATAAAATGTGAGGGAAAGAGCCAATGAGAAGCATTTCCCACATGTGCAGTCTCAGTTTTTGAGTCATTTCTGAAGTCCCTGTCCTGTGAGTCATTTTGTAGAGCTTGTTGCAGTGCCAGGCATGGAGCCAGCTGCCTGCTGGAGAGGAAACTAGGGCAGGAGAGAAAAAAATGACTGGTCTCAGATTACACAAGAAAGGTATACAGCAGAGATGGGAACCTCACATTCTGAAGTACCTACATGTTAATGTCAAATCGTACACCAAATGTCCCCTGCATTTTGTGTGTGTGTGTGTGTGTGTGTGTGTGTGTGTGTGTGTGTGTGTCTGTGTCTGTGTGTAGTACTGGGGCTTGAACTCGGGACCTTTACCTTAAGCCACTCCAAGAGCCCTATTTTTGTGAAGGGTTTTTCGAGATAGGGTCTCGTGAACTATTTGCCCAGATGGGCTTCGAACCATGATCCTCCTGATCTCTGCTTCCTGAGTAGCTAGGATTATAGGCTTGAGCCACCGGCACCCGGCCACTACATTCATTTTCAAGTGGTAGAACTGTGGTTTTATTTTTCACATTTCCTAAAATGAGCAAATATTGCTTCTGTGGTTTAAAATTTTGCTAACATTAAAAAAAAAAAAAAAGCCAATGTTCAGAGTGGCTCTCTGGGCCTGCAGGTGACCTGGAGCCATGGCTCCCCATACAAACCCATTCTAAGTAGAGGCTGGGGTGGCGGGGTGGTGCTCAGGCCCTCCCTAGGTAATCAGGGGAGAGGACCCTGAAACAGGCCTTCTGGTCCCCAACCTGCCCATCAGCATGAGTGAGGGCTGTAGTCACAAAAAAGCAAGTGAGCACACATTATCACAAACCTGTGCTTGGAGGTGCTAGTCACCCTCTCCAGGTGGGACACACTGGGGTCCAGCTATTACTGCAGAGCTACCTCCCAGTCTGCCACCCCAGGTGGGCCTCTGGGGAAGGCAGCTTCCTCAGTTCCCTACCGGTGGTCACACTGTTTCCCTGTCTGCTCCGTGGCAGGTGAGAGTCTGCCCTTCCGCTGTGCTCCCGACAGCCTGGAGGTGAGCACACGCTGGGCCCTGGACCGCGAGCAGCAGGAGAAGTATGAGCTGGTGGCCGAGTGCACAGTACACACTGGTGCGCGTGAGGAGAAGGTGATGGTGCCCTTCCCGGTGACCGTGTACGATGAGGACGACTCAGCACCCACCTTCCCTGGGGGCGTGGATTCCACCAACGCGGTGGTGGAGTTCAAGCGAAAGGAGGTGCTTTTGTCTTATGTCTATCTGAATGATGTCTGTCTCTGCCTGCAATTTCTTCCTTGGTCTGTTTAGTCGGCTGGCTAGTCATCCAACCATGTCTGTTCCTTGGTTCATTTGTGCCTCCGTTTGTCGGGCTGCCTGCCTGCCAGCAGCCAGTTGGGCCCTGGATGCCCGGCCTGTGTCTTTCGGGCTGTCTGTCCCAGGGAGTGTCAGGAGTACACCTTGGCTCACCTGTGCCACTGCATGCCTGAGCAGCGCGATGCCTCTCCAAGGAGGCATCTGCCAGGACGCAGGTAGCCAGACTTCACCAGAGAGCCTTCGAAGTTCAGGGAGAGGAGAGGTGCTGGAGAGAGACAGAGAGGCGGATCCCATCCCTTGGGGATCTCCCGGCGCTCCCGGCCCCGCCCATCTCTGGCCTGCGCAGGTGAAGCGCGACCGCCACCTGCTGGGCATAGGTCCATCCTGCAGCCCGCTCTGCTCTTCGGACCAATGGAAATGGGGGAGAGGTGGTAACCACCTGCTTCTCTGGGTCCTCTAGGTGCAGGTTTGCTAGAGGTGTGCGGGGAGAGGGCGGTCTGGGACCAGAGGAAAGCACACCTCTGGGCAGCCTTGGGGTGACAACAGGAAGCGTGGTGATCAGGGAACGAGGTCCCCTTTGGTTTTGCTCACAACCCTTTCCCACATGTGTACCGAAAATATTTGGGGAAGGAGTGTTCTGTTGTACGTGTGGGTTTGGGTTCCTGTTCTAACATCTGTCACTGCATATCTTCGCCCTGGGGGCCCATGTTCCTCAGGAGAGTGAGGGTTCTCCTACAGTGTGGGGACCTGGATGAGACCTGTCAGCACAACACCTGAGCACTTGCTGTGATTCTCCTCATGGGAGGTCACCTGTTGCACAGGTGAGGCACAGTGACTCTTGGAAGGTGACTGGGACCAGCTGGCAGGTGGTCCGTCTGTCCCCAGAGCTGGTTCTGACAGTGCACACCTGATCCCCCTGTGGGCTGTGCTGGGTCATGTGGCCTCCCCAGGGCACCTGCTCTGACTGGTGCTCCTGCATCCCACAGGGCACTGTGGTAGCCACACTGCGTGTGTTCGACGCGGATGTGGTACCGGCATCTGGGGAGCTGTTGAGGCGGTACACAAGCACGCTGCTCCCCGGGGACCCTTGGGCCCAGCAGACCTTCCGGGTGGAGCACGCGCCGAACGAGACCTTGGCCCAGGCCAACACCAGCTTCGTGCGGGCAACTGTGCATGACTACAGTAAGGGGCTGGTGGTGTGGTATCTTCCCGGACCTGCAGGCTGGCTGAGCTTCTATGTGACCACACAACCCTATACACCACACATGCACACATACTCCGCACCACAAACTAACCCCAGACACGTCGTATACCACATACGCCAAAATACACTATACCACATGCATCCCCATACCACACACAGACTATACAGAAACGCAGCATGCAACCTGTGTCACAAACACCCTGTACACAAACCTCATTTCTATATGCCACCTGTATACACATACCCCATAAATACACACATGCACACATAACATATGCATATCACCTAATTACAGAATACACCACATACCACATACACCCCCCCACACCACACAAACACTTTAGACAGCACGCACACCATGTGCATGCACACATACATGCATGCACACGTGCACACACCTAGGCTGTCTCAGCTGAGACACCTTCTCTGAGACTCAGCTCAGCAGGATGGCCAGCCTTTAAATAGTGGTTCTAGCTTAGGGCTGACCATCAGACCTGTTATCTGAGCATGCGTGTGAGAAAGTAGGTATTTGCATGTGTGTGCAGGGCTGTGTGCCTGGGAGGAGATGTGGCATGGGGGAGCAATCCTGGACTACAGCAGTTCAGTTGTCATCACTGTGCCCCATCCCCACAGAGCTGGTTCTCAACCGGAGCCTCCCCATCTCAGAGAGCCGAATCCTGCAGCTGGCTGTGCTGGTCAATGACTCAGACTTCCAGGGTCCCGGGGCAGGTGTCCTCCTCCTCCATTTCAATGTGTCTGTGTTGCCCATTAGCCTGCACCTGCCCAGCACCTACTCCTTCTCCGTGAGTAGGAGGGCCCATCGTTATGCCCAGGTGAGCCATAGCCCACTGCTTGCCTAGACCTGGGAAGTGTCCAAGGGTGGGACTCTCCTTTTAGCAGATTATAGGCAGGCTGGGGGATGGATGACGCCCTTCCCCAGGTCACCCCATGCAGAGCTGCCCAGGTGGAGCTGTTGACACAGGGGCAAGGAGGCAGTAGCCTGGGTGTCAGAAGAGGCCCAGGGGTGCTCCTCTAAGAATCTTAAGCCCCTCTACTTTTGTCATTTCATCCAGGAGAACCCCCACCCCCTCTTCAGAGCTTGTTGAGCCCCTTGGCACCTGTAAAACCTTTTTTTTTGCACTAACATAAAATCAATGCTGGGTATATATGTATATGGCTACTTGGAAAGATGTTGCTGGTGGATTACTCAGTGGTAAAATGGTTTGTAGAACCATTGGTCTCTGGTGACTCCATTTAGACAACAGCAAATCTTCATTGATGAGAATTTGCAAGCATGCAACAGACTGCCCTTAACAGTGGTGCCCTCTGGTGGGGGGAGGTGGGGCACACTTTTACTTTCTGTAAGTGCATTTAATGTTTTTATAAGCTGTAGAGCACCTGCCTGGCAACTGCAAGGCTTTGAGTTCAAACCCCAGTACCACCAAAAGAAATGTATTTATATTCGTGTTTAGAAAATAATGATTAAACATGGAAAAATAAAGGGCTTTGGGATGTATCTCCATGGTGTACTACACAAGGTCCTGGGTTCCATCCCCAGAATCAAAAAACAAAAGGAGAGAGAGAGAGAGAGAGAGAAGCCAGTCATAAATGCTCATTAAAGATGAGGGAAGTTCTTTTTCAAATTTTTAAGTGCTTTTTAAGTTTATCAGCACATATGACTTCACGACTGCAGCATGTAGAACAAATCCTCTTCAGGTTTGGGGCTGCCTCTTCTTGTCCCAGTGGCTTCTTAATTCTTACATTTGGTTCCAGGCCCCCATCCACTCCTGACACCAGCACACAGGGTCCCCACCCTTCGACATGGCCCTGGCCTTCCCCCATAAAAGGCCATGGGGGTAGTAGCAGGTCAAGGATGGGGGCTGACAAGACAAAAGGCCTGAGGAGCCTCAAAGGGGGACTGGGAGGGAGAGGGTGTCACTGGAGGATCTGGCCTTGGGTTCTCTGTGGTTTCTTACCTTCTCCCAGTTTTTAAAATTGTGAATTGAGGCCGGAGACCTTGGATAGTTTTGAGAAGGTGGAAGGAAACATATTTTGTAGGGGAAAGTGAGGTGGTTCAAGAAGCCGGTTTTGTTATGGCATCAGATGTGGCTTGGAGGCACCTGGCTCTGCCCTGGGTACAGCAAAGCTGACCTTAAGGCATGGCTGTGCACCTGCAGACAGCCCCCACCCCACCTCTGGGCTTCACCACTTCTGGAGCTCTTAGCTTCAATGGCCCCTCTTCAGAGCTTGGCATCCCCAGACTCTGTTCCCAAAGTCCCAAGGATGACCCTGGCCTCACGTGGGAGACCACTCTGTGGTAGACACATGGCTGGGATGCAGTGCTCTGACAGATGATTGGATTCTGGGAGAGGGGCGTTGACCTCTCCTCTCACTTCTAGGAGCACACACAGCTAGTGACTTGGTGATCTGAGCAGAACCAGGCAGAAGGGTTGAGCAGGTGGGGGTCTGCAGGTTCCCAGGGGGTGAAGGATGGGACATTCAGGAAGGCTGTCTTCCCCAGGCCAAGTTAGGGACCACCCTGGTACTTGGGCAGCCCCAGAGCCTCTCTAGCTACCAGCTTAGCCTTTTGCTGCCACCCTCCCCTCTCCCCCCAGATTGGGAAGGTCTGTGTGGAAAACTGCCAGGAGTTCAGCGGCATTCAGGTCCAGTACAAGCTGCAGCCTTCCAGTGCCAACTGCAGTGCCCTGGGCGTGGTCACCTCAGTCAAGGATACATCTGGAACCCTGTTCGTGAATGACACTGAGGCCCTGCGGCAGCCTGAGTGTGCAGAGCTTCAGTACACAGTGGTGGCCACCGACCGGCAGACTCGCAGGCAGGCCCAGGCCCCATTGCTTGTCACTGTGGAGGGGACACGTAAGTGCCGGATTCCACGGAGGGATGGGGTGAGACTGGGCCTTGGCCTGCTGCCCAAGGCCTCCCTTCCCACATTGAGAATAACAGTACACACTGCACAGCCTGAATGGAAGGATGGTGGAGGCAGTGAGAACCAGTATAAACCAGAGTGACCATGTACTGAACAGCTCCACTCACACCCCCTTCAACAAATCCTAGACACGTACCTGTTTGGGGGCTGCCAGATAAGACACACAACGAAGTGAGCTTTATCTCGCTCCCTCGTTACTAATGAACATAACTAGGCCTAACTGAGGGTGACGGGAGGTGCAGAAAGGACACAGGATAGACAGACAGACAGAAAGTTGGGGCCAGATGTGCTGGGTGTTCAGGTGAAGATGCACAACAGCCTCATTGCTTCTTTTCTCTGTTAATCTCTTCTCTTTACTCTGCTCCTTTTCTCTATCTTTTCTTTAAGGCCTTACTCCCTTACAATTCTTTAAAACCTCACTTCTAAAAGACTTCTTTTCTATTCTTTAAAGTCTCTTTCCTTACACTCACTCTGTCCTATGTTTTCTCTTAGCTTTTCTTAACATAATCTCTCTTAAAGTCTTTGCCCTCAGACTTGCACTGTCCCATGTTCTCTCTTTTTTTTTTTATTTCTTTTATTCATATATGCATACAGTGTTTGGGTCATTTCTCCCCCCTTCTCCCCACCTTCTCCCTTTTCACCTCCCCCTCCCTCTCCCCACCCGCCCCCTCGCTACCAGGCGAAACTACTTTGCCCTTATCTCTAATTTTGTTGAAGAGAGAGTATAAGCAATAATAGGAAGGAACAAGGGTTTTTGCTGGTTGAGATAAGGATAGTTATACAGG